CAAGCCTGGGCCAGCAAAGCAACAATGACAACTGCAACAGAAAAATAGCCAGGCGCTGTGGCAAGCGCCTATAGTCCCAGCTACTTGAGAGGCTGAGGCAAGAGAATCGCTTAAACCAGGGGTCCTTAAACTTTTTAAACAGGGGGCCAGTTCACTGTCCCTCAGACCATTGGAGGGCCAGACTGCAGGCCCCGGGATGAGTCGGCTGCTAAGCAGGACAGGCAGCAGCAGCAAAAACACCCAGCAGGTAGGGTAAATGTCCTAGGCGGGCTGCATGTGGCCCCTGGGCCGTAGAGCACCTGGCTTAAACCCAAGAGTTTGAGGTTGCTGTGAGCTGTGATGTCACAGCATTCTAACCAGGGCTACAGCTTGAGAGTCTGTCTCAAAAAGAAAAAAAAAAAAAAAAAAGGATAAGAAAAGAAAAAGACTTCCATGGCAATTGCAACAACAATAGAAATAAACAAATGGGACTTAATTAAACTGAAAAGCTTCTGTACAGCTAAGGAAACAACCAAAGCAATAGACAACCTTCAGAATGGGGAAAGATATTTGTATATTATGAATCAGACAGAAGCTTGATATCTAGGATCTACAGAGAACTCAAATTAATCAACAAAAAACCAACAATCCCATAGATTACTGGGCAAGAGACATGAATAAAACCTTCTCTAAAGAAGAAAGGACTAGGCGGCACCTGTGGCTCAGTGAGTAGGGTGCCGGCCCCATATACCGAGGGTGGTGGGTTCAAACCCAGCCCCGGCCAAACTGCAACAAAAAAATAGCCGGGCGTTGTGTTGTCCCAGCTACTCAGGAGGCTGAGGCAAGAGAATCACCTAAGTCCAGGAGTTGGAGGTTGCTGTGAGCTATGTGATGCCATGGCACTCTACCAAGGGCTATAAAGTGAGACTCTGTCTCTACAAAAAAAAAAAAAAAAAAAAGAAGAAGAAGAAGAAAGACTAATGGCTGACAAACATATGAAGAAACGCTCATCATCCCTAATCATCGGAGAAATGCAAAACAAAATCACCCTGAGATGCCACCTAACCAGTGAGAATGGCCCACATGACAAAAATCTCAAAACTGCAGATGCTGGTGTGGATGTGGAGAGAAAGTAATTTTTTTTTTTTTTTACACTGCTAGTGGGACTGCAAACTAAAATAACCATTTTGGAAGGAAGTATAGAGAATCCACAAAGAACTCAAATTAGTTCTCCCATTTGATCCCACAATCCCACTACTAGGCATCTACCCAGAAGAAAAAAAAATCCTTTTATCATAAGGAATTTGCACTAGACTGTTTATCAAAGCTCAACTTACAAGCGCCAAAATGGGGAAACAACCTAAATGCTCACCAACCCAGGAATGGATTAACAAGCTGTGGGATACATATTACTCAGCCACTAAAAAAGATGGAGACTTTCCGTCTTTTGTATTAACCTGGGTAGAGTTGGAACACATTCTTCTTAGTAAAGCATCGCAAGAATGGAGAAGCAAGAATCCGATGCACTCAAGTCTAATATGAAGGCAGTAGATGAGTTAATACAACGGGTGGGGTAGGGGAATGCAGGAGAGGGGAGGAGGGGAATGGGTGGCACACCTCTTGGGAGCAGGACACGATTTCAAGAGGAACTCTACCTAACAAATCAACCTAATTCTTTGTACCCTCAATGAATCCAAACAATGAAAAAAAGAAAATTTTTTTAGTTCTCTGTGGTATCCAGGTGTTGTGGCAAGCGCCTATAGTCACAGCTACTTGGGAGATTGAAGCAAGAGAATCATTTAAGCCCAAGAATTTGAGATCACTGTGAGCTGTGATGCTACAGCACTCTACTGAGGGTGACATAGGGAAACTATCTTAAAAAAAAAAGTCTGTGGGCAGGTGGAGTGTTCCAAACTTACTGCCCCTTCTAGACTAAGGGCATTAAGGAAGACATTTGAGGCTAAGAAGGGAGTCCATGGTTGGTCAAGTCCAAAGGTCACAGAAAGTCCATGGCCTTGCTGGGACTATGGTTCCTGAGCAGGTAGGTAAAGCCAGCTGCTCCATCCCACCTCACTCTCCTCAGTGGGTGTTGCAAGTCAGCTTGTTTGTCAGAGTGAGTGTCATGGGCCAATGGGTGGCTGAGATGAGAGAGTATGAACTCTCTCTTAAAACAAGAGAGAGTTGAAGAACCCAGTGGAGAAACCTCAACTGTGATCTACCCTGGGGAAAGTTTTGTGGATCGAGGCATGAAGGGCCTTTCTCCCCCAGGGGAAAAGCCGTCCCCCTGGGCTCTGGGCTAGGGCCATGTGCAGAGTTTAAACCATGCACATCTTAGCAGCACAGAATGTGGCAGATGAAACATGCCTCCCCTTGGCCAGCCAAACAGGACTTGGCAGCTGATGGAAGAGAAGCAGAGCAAGGGGTCTGGAGATGTGAACCCCTCTGGGGTTTGGAGCCTCAGGAAATGCCCAGGCTTTGGGGAGAGCTGTGACTGTACATGAGCACCGGCAGGAAACCCAGTGAGTGGTTCTCCCTGCAGGCAGCTGAGTCCCACAAGAAATATTTGGCGACTCTGAGAAGAACACAGAGACTCACAGGCCAACAGACTAATATTTAACAACTATAAATCAAACTATCAAACCGCTAACTAAAATATGTTCTATCCTTCTACCTTGAACAAATAAATGTACTTCTAAGACAACCTGGAAGGTCAGGTAAAATTAATTGTCCTTGGACTCCTGAAAGGCGCTCACCAGAATGCAAGAACCAGAACCCACGGTTCGCGCCCCCTTTGTCTTCCCACCCCACGGCTATCCCACCACTACCAAGATCTCTCATGCTCCCACCCACGGCCCTCCACTGTGTACTTCTAAGCCCTGCCACACTACTGCAAGCAGCCACCCATTGGCCCATGACACTCACTCTGACAGCCAGTCTCCCCTTGGCTTTGCCTGGACCTCAGCCCCAAGGCTGAGGCCAAGTCATTCTGAGGTCACACGAATCAGAGGATGATCCCCAGGGAGAAGTGACAAGAGCCTGGCCAGAGATGAGACCTCTGAAAGCCAACCCCCAACACCGCCTGCCTATATCTCCAGCTGGTACAGAGATGGGAAAGCCCAAAGAAGGTTCCATGTGGCCCCAAAGGCTGAATCTAGAGAGCTTCCTGGGTTCAGAGGAGTCCTGAACTAACCCTAATCTGGCTTGGGTGAAGACAGATTCCTGTGAGAGACACAGAGATGCCCACTGCAGACAGCACCCCTGCTAGTAAATGGCAAAATATAAACTTAAGGTTTGCACACACGTGCGTGGATGTGTGGATGTGTGCAGGTATGAATGTGTATGCTCTGGTGTATACATGTGTGGGCGTGGGCAGGTGTGAACATACAGCTGTATGTACGGTGGGTTCTTGCAGGCATGTGCATGAATGTGTGTGCTCAGTGTGTGTATGTGTGGGTGTGAGCAGGTGTGAAGGTACAGGCCTATGTACGGTGGGTTCTTGCAGGCATGTGCATCAATGTGTGTGCATGTACTCACGTGCAGATGTGGGCTGTGCATCTGCATATTGTGTCAGGAAAGGGAGTGTTCCCTGTGTGCTTTTCCTGCTGCCAGTGACCTGTGTTGGGCCCCCCGCGTCCCCTGGCTGAGTTGTCTGTCCAAGCCATCTTTATTATCTGAGATTTGTGATCCAAATGGACTCACGGTGCTGACACAAGAGAGCCTGCAGGTTGGTTGTGTGCTGAGCCAAGAAACCACTTGCAAGTTCTTAAAGCCAAGGTGATATTTTCCTGGCCATCTGTGTTCCCTGAAACCAGTTGAATAGACCGGTGAAATGGAAGCTCAGCCTACCTGTCTCTATCAGCCAGGAATAAGAACCCCAGAGTGGCACAGGTTTCATCAGTGACAAATGAGGCAAAGTTCAGAAAAGGCCTTGTAAAGCAGCACAGCTGGGGACTTGTCATCATTGCCATCACTGTGATTCCTGCCATGTCTGTTTGTGTGCTTGGACTCCTCTCCCCAGAGGCTGTGGCTACAGCACAGTGGCCTGCAGGACCTAAGTCCTCTGAGTTCTGTTGTTCTTTCTGGCAGTTCCTTTTGCCAACTTCCTCCTGTCCCTTGGTGCCTGGGGAGAGCAGGGGCTGTGCACTCATGCTTACATGAGGTTGCAGATGTGTGTTGCAACTCTGCCCATTCAGTCTCTTTAGCAGGGACAGGCAACTGTGGCACAGGGCAGGTGGAGGAAGTCATGGCACTTTCAGAGGTGAGGCTGTCCTGAAAAGCAAGAGCCATGAGCCCCATGGCATTACAAGAAGAGAACACGGCTCCTCAGCGATTTGAAGAGAGGCATCTACAGAAGGAGCCACCACTGCTGGCTTTTCACACATGTGTCTCTGGTCTCTGCCTTACAGCCTAGTTTTAGCAAGAATCTTTGTAAGTCAGTTTAACCAGAACTTGCCACCCTGCCACCCTCAGTATCTGAAAAAAAAAATTCCTCACCCACTAGCCCTGGGTGATGTCTGATCACCGTGGCCTGTCTTCAGCCAGAATTCTCCTCACACCTCATGTCTCTTCTTAGTAATTTTCCATCCTTAATTCCCTACCCCTTGTCTGGGCTATAAATCTCCACCTTTCTTTGTTGCATTCTGACTTGAGCCCAATCTTCCTCTCCCATGCAGCTGTGGCCATGACTCTGAATAAAGTCTACCTGAAACTCTTTTGATGAGTGTCAGAATAATTTTTCATATATATACATATCCAAAGAGAAGATTTTTCAACCTGAAAATGTATTTCCTTCTTGCCCATTGGGATCTTAAGCCTCCAGCACATCTAGGAAAAGCTTTTGCGAAGACAGAAACTGTGGTGGGTTTGTGGGTGAGATGTGAACCAGAATGCCAGGTGTCACATCCCTGCTTTTCAGGCTACATAATCGTTAAGATTTTAAAAACACCCAAGATGAAGGCCATTCCATCAGTGTTTTCAGACACTGATGGTGGGGCATCAGTTAGAGGCTGCAGTAGCAAAAGATGAGCAGAACCCTGGAAAAGATGCTGTGCCTGAGGAACAATGTCACTGTTAAGCAAGGCTTTTCCTTCCTAAGCTTTGGAACTTCAGGAGTGCTGAGTACCTGCAGGCACTACAAGACAAAGCCCACCCGTGACATGGGAAGATACAAGCCCCTAATTAAAGCACAAGAGCCCCCCCCCCAAAAAAAGTACAAAAGTGGAAGTTAGGTGCATTAATCTGGGGACAGATTATGAATATGGTGTTTTAAACATTCACCTGACTTCCTGTGACCTGACCTTGGCAGAGAGTTATGCCCGATATATTCACAACCTCTGCAACCAACTCTCCAGTAAAGTCTAGGAAAGCTATGCAATGCCCACCAAAACCATGGAGGTGTTGCAGCTGCCAGAACAAGGCAACAAAATGGTCGTGGACTCAGTCCTTACCACCCATGAGCGGCTGGTTCAGATCAGTGGTTTGAGTGCTACATTTGCAGAGATTTTCTTGGAAATAATCCAAAGCAATCTTCCTGAAAGGGTCAGATTGCTAGTGAAGGAGCAGACGGAAGAAGACTTCAAGGGACGGCTCAAAGTTCGGCCAGAACTGGAAGAACTGTAGGCCAAGCTGAACTAGCTATTGCGGACCTGCAGTGTGCCAGCAGTGGTCATACTGAGTGCCAAGGAGAGGAACTTCCTGGGTGGTCACAGTTAGGCAGGAGATGGGTGACCCTAACCCTAAGATTTCATAAGTTCTCATTCCTACCACCAGGAATGCCTTCTCCTCTGTGGCATTGCTGTGCTTGCCAGTTGTTACAACTAACCCTAATTATCCTTCATCTAATAAAAATTTGCTATTGGCTCGGCACCTATAGCTCAAGCGGCTAAGGCGTCAGCCACGTACACCTAAGGTGGCGGGTTCGAATCCCCAGCCCGGACCCGCCAAAACAACAATGATGGCTGCAACCAAAAAAATAGCCCGGCATTGTGGCGGGCGCCTGTGGTCCCAGCTACTTGGGAGGCGGAGGCAGGAGACTCGCTTGAGCCCAGGAGTTGGAGGTTGCCGTGAGCTGTAATGCCACAGCACTCTACCCAGGGGGACAGCTTGAGGCTCTGTCTAAAAAAAAAAAAAAAAAAAAAATTTGCTATTGCTGGGGAAAAAAATGTTTTTTAAACACCCAATTAAAGGTTCTAATCCAACTCCATATAGAAAGACACACTCAGACTAGTGTTTAACGGCACTTGTTTCTCGCCGCCCGAGGCAGTGACCAGCTTAGCTTCATCATCTCCTGACTGACAGCTCACGCAACACCAAGCGCTCTCCAGGCCGCTGCAAGGTCAGAGATCTGCAGAGAACTTGCTTCTGGCGGTATCAGGGGCCCCACCTGAGCGGCGCCCTCCCCCACCCATACTCGCATCAGGAGCCGGAAAACCCTGCCTTCCTCCCTCCCCTGCTGCCTTCTTGGGATAAACCAGAACCACACACCGCGCGCCTAACAGCTCGGGCCGAAACGCCCCTGAAGCCTGGGGGCAGGCCGGAAGCCTCCCGGGCGCGGGGCGCTGGCAGGGGAAGGGGCGGGCGCAGGCGGCGGCCAACGCAGAGATGCACGCGGGGCTCCTGGGGCTCTCGGTCCTGCTGCAGGCTGCTGATCAGAGCGCGCGTGAGTGCGGCGCCGCCACCCTCCAACTCCCCACCCACCTCGGCCGCTTTTGCAGTCTGGGCCGCTTTTGCAGTCCTGTCCTGGGGGGCAGCCTAAAGAGGCCGGCGCGAAGTCCTGCGCGTGCGGGTGCATGCACTGTAGTAACTACCCCGCCTGCTGAGCACGCCCACCCAGTTCCCAGAGGATGCCCGCGGATGCAAGACTTCCCCGACCCCTCCACTCCTGCACGATCCCTCGCGGATGCACGACTTCCCCGACCCCTGCACGATCCCGCGCGGATGCACGACTTCCCCCGACCCCTGCACGATCCCGCGCGGATGCACGACTTCCCCGACCCCTCCACTCCTGCACAATCCCGCGCGGATGCGTGGTGTACCCTGACGAATGCACGCTCCTCTTTTGGGAGCCGTTCCCGCCCTTCCCTCAGAGAGCTGCACCCCGCTCCTCCCCATGTCCCTGGCACTTAGAGCGGACTACGTGGCTTGAGGCTGCGGGAGGGAGGGATGGCAGAACCCAAAGACAGAGCTCCGCATCCGCGTGGCCTCGGGGCTTGGGACAGAGGTCTGGGTCTGCCTCGGACACCGTGGCTTGTGAAAGGCCTAGCCTACAGAGGTGAAGCAAGATGGCCACGCTTTTTGCGCGTTTCTGGTTTGAATTTGTAACTCTTTCGGTGCCGGAGGAGTGTCCCCGCCCACTTCCGCTGGGCTCCCGGGGGGAGGGGCGTGTTTTCCTGGGCCGGTAGCTTTGGAAGGAGAGGGGGCGTGAATGAGGTTCCGGCCAGCCTCCAGACCCTGGAGGACCCGGCGGGCTCCGGCTCCGACCTTTACACGGTGTTTGCACCGCGTCCTGCCTGCCCCACTGTGTCAAAGGAGCGCTGGCAGTACTCCACCGAAGGGGAGTCAGCGCGACATTGGTTCCTGTGCTCCGCGGGGAAGGGCTGAGACTAGCTGCACCCCCGTGTCGGGCTCTCCCGGGCGGTCCCGGGGACGGCTCTCCCACCTTCCCCCCCCCCACCCCCCGGCGCGACCCGGTCCCAACGTTCTCCAGCCCGGGTAACCCTCCCAGGGTGGCCAGCTGACTCCTCCAAAGGCTTTCTGTGTTTGGGCACAGTGTGCCGAGTGTGTGGCAGGACCCTCGGGATGGTTGTAGCGCTGGACAGAGCCTGGAGAGCCCTGACCTCTCTGTCCAGTGCTGCGGGGTTGGCAGGCGCATCTCGGGCAGCGCAGCTCGTGGCTCACTTAGAACTTTTCTGTTGGAAAATCTAAGTGACCGTCAGGGCACACGTTACTACTGTGTTGCCAGGGCCAGTGCATTCACCTCGGTGTCATTCTCACAGAATCCTCGGGAGTGGGTGGCGCCACCTTGGGATTGTTCCAAAGGAGTTGCCCCCATGTGAAAGATGGCCAAGGCAGACCCCACAGAGTGAGCTGTGACAATAGACATCCAGATGTGGCAGGCAGTGACAGTTCAGTAAGATTGACTATTGATTGGGGAATGTAGAACTTGACCCTACTATCATTTAAAAATTAAAGAAAAATAATGGAGAGGAGGTTTCTGATTTCTTGAGCACATGCTGGGTGCCAGGACATTACCCATGTTCTCAGGTATAATCTGGCAGCTCCTCTCACAGACCACAGTGTCTGATAGATGTGTGCCTGTCTCCCTCTGCCTGAGGTTCTGCCTGGCCTGGGCTTTGTCAAGACTCCCCACTGGAGTCTCGCTGGCACTGAGAACACTGTGTTGGTGGGTGACTGTTAGGTTTCATTTTTTGTTTTGTTTTAATGATTTGGTCAGTCAGATACGGCCACAAAAGGAGGCTCAGGAGAGCAAAGTTTCTCATCCTCATAGATCCTAGGACAGGAAGCAGGGCACTCCACACAGGTCCACACAGGAGAGACACCAGGGAGGTCAGGAGGCCAAGGCCAGAACCACCTCGGAGAGACAGGACAGCGTGGACAGTTTAAACTGGCTAATTTGGATAATTCCAACCGGCTTTGGCCCATATGGGTGCTCCCTAGCCTCCTGGTGGTGCCTGCCAGACAGGAAGTGTGGCTCAGGGCAGGTTAGTTTGCAGACCATGCTCCTCTCTGGGCCCTTTACTATCTCAAAGAATGGACCATCCCAGGAGGGCCAGTGTCTCCCCAGGGAGGAAGGTTTTTAAGATATCAAAACATCAGACATACAGAGAATTTAAAAATATTTGCAGAGCAGTTACCCAGTCTCACTGCAGCCTTCCAATAGCCTTCTCACCATTCTCTCCCCAGGCCTCTGCGCCATGGTTTACTACTTCACCACGGGACGGCTCCTATCGGGGTGGCTGGCCCTTTCCATCCTCCTGCCTGGCTTCTTGGTACAGGGCCTGAGCTACTTGTGGTTCCGAGCAGACGGGCATCAAGGGCATTACTCACTGGTGACACTGCACATGCTACAGCTTGGCATTTGGAAGCGGTAAGAATAGTGGCCCCTTTTCACCTGGAGAGACAGTGCATGTGTGCAGTGGGAGGTTTCTTCTGCCCTGTGCATTTCATCCTTAAGATCGTGAAAGTTTAGGAGTGCGAGAGGTTCTCCAGCCTCTGCTCTGGTGTTGGCATCACCTTATCTAGCCTACACTTCCTGGAAAATCTCTAATGGTGGGAAGGGGGCTCTTTCTGGACGCAGCTGTGACCTTGTCAAACTCTGTTCTGCTGAGTTTTTATAGTTTTTTCTATAAAGCAGCAGCCAGGGCTCGATCTGGTGCCAAGTGGGCTCAACTGTGGTCCACAGGTCACCTCTGCAGGTGAGGACTCAGAGCGTCTGTATACAAGATGCTGTCAAAAGAGACATCGTGGTAAGTTCACATCACTGCACATTCCAGCTTTCAGCTACCTCATAACCCCATAGGGTTGACAGGAAGTTTTTAAAAAGGAGAAAAATTTGAGGGTCAGATCAGTGACACTCCACAGCTTCAGTGTTTCTGAAACTGTAGACCCCGAGGGCTGGAACACTTTTGAGCATTCAGTGTTCAGGGGAATGAAGCTGTGTCACACAGAGTAGAACTCAGGTAGGACATAGAGGGTGCTTCTGAGAAAGACCTCAAGCAACCACTCCCAGACCAGCCTGAGCAGAAGCAAGACCCCATCTCTATTAAAAAATAGAAAAACTGAGGCAAGAGAATCACTTGAGCCCAAGAGTTGGAGGTTGCTGTGACCTATGATACCACAGCACTCTACCCAGGGTGACAGCTTAAGACTCTGTCTTGAAAGAAAGGAAAGAAAGAAAGTGAGTTAGGTACTGTAAGCAAACATTTGGGAGCTCAAAAAGAGGTTTAAGCCAATAACTTGAAGGAGCTTCCTGAATTGGTAGTTGTCAGATCAATCTACCTTCTGGGAATCTGTGAGGATGCTTGATCCCACCTAATCTGCTGCCTTCTTCGGGTGTTTGACAGTGGAGAACACACTCTGGTCTTCCCAGTGTGCTTGAAAAGCTTCTTAAATGATGCTGTGATTTTCTGGTATATATTTAAAAACTAATCGGAATAATCTGATATATATTAAAGAACTAATCAGATAAATAGACATGCAGATCAGAAATTAGGAAAAATTAGTCATGTCTGTTTATTGTTATTTTCAGAGGAAAGTTAAGGTGACTAAAACAATATACATAATTCAAAAAGACAAAAAAAAAAAGGAAGTGAGAAAAGCCAGGGAAAGGAATGAAATGTTAGAAAACAAAATTAAACTAGAATGGACAGTTATTAGAGGTGACCCACAAATTTGACTCTAAGCTTTATAATAGCCAGCACAAACCATACGGTTTGCTGTGTTTCTAAGATTAAAAATAAGCCCTAGGCCAGGCGTGGGGCTCACACCTGTAATCCCAGCGCTCTGGAAGGCCAAGGTGGGAGGGTAGCCTGAGCAAGATCGAGACCCTGTCTCTACTAAAAATAGAAAAAAACTAGCTGGACATTGTGGCAGATGGGTGTATGCCCAACTACTCGGGAGGCTGAGGCAGAAGGATCTCCCAGGAGTTTGAAATTAATATGAGCTATGATGCCATGGCTCACTATCCAGGGAAACAGAGATTGAGATTCTATCTCAAAAATAAATTAATTAATTAAACAAAAATAAGCCCCCAAACAGAAATCCACTTAAAAGAAAGCTTCGAAATTTCAAATACAAAACATTAGGTCTATTCCTCATTCTGAAACTAGCATATTGAGTTCTCACCAAAAAAAGTGATAAAAATAATAATTTGAGTTCTCACCCTCCAAAAAAAAATAATAATAATAAGGTCATGTTTTTTTTTTTTTTTTTTTTTTTTTTGAGACAGAGCCTCAAGCTGTCCCCCTGGGTAGAGTGCCGTGGCTCTACAGCTCACAGCAACCTCCAACTCCTGGGCTCAAGCGAGTCTCCTGCCTCCGCCTCCCAAGTAGCTGGGACCACAGGCGCCCGCCACAACGCCCGGCTATTTTTTGGTTGCAGCCGTCATTGTTGTTTGGCGGGTCCGGGCTGGGGATTCGAACCCACCACCTTAGGTGTACGTGGCTGGCGCCTTAGCCCGGTGAGCTATAGGCGCCGAGCCAATAAGGTCATGTTTTTAAGCAAATCCAGTTTTGCAATTTGCAGATCAGCAATAGCACCTGTAGGGGGAGCCAAAACAATGGTGTTTTGCCCAATCCTCCCTTGCATAAGAATGGAACCCTTTGAGAGATTTCTTTTTTTTTTTCAGACAGAGTCTCACTTTGTTGCCTTAGGTAGAGTGCTATGGCGTCACAGCTCACAACAACCTCTCGGACTCCTGCGCTCAAGCAATGCTCTTGCCTCAGCCTTCCAAGTAGCTGGGACTACAAGCACCCACCACAATACCTGGCTGTTTTTAGAGATGGGGTCTTGCTCTGGCTCGGTCTGGTCTCGAACCTGTGAGCTCAGGCAATGTGTCCAACTTGGCCTCCCAGAGTCCTGGGATTACAGAGGCGTGAGTCACCTGCCTGGCCCCTTTGAGAGAGTTCTTAATGAAATGCAAAAGCATCTACTAACAGAGAAATCCGTAAAACACAAAACCTCTCAATATAAAGTTACATGTAAAAGGCAGACACCGTGGCTCACGCCTGTAATCCTAGCACTCTGGGAGACCAAGGCAGGTGGATTGCCTGAGCTCAGGAGTCCAAGATCCGCCTGAACAAGACTGAGACCCCAACTCTATTATAAATAAGAAAACTAACTGGACGTTATGACAGGCGCCTGTAGTTCCAGCTATTCAGGAGGCTGAGGCAAGAGGATCTCTTGAGCCTAAGAGTTTGAGGTTGCTGTGAGCTGTGACCTGATGATGCTGGGGCCAGATGTAGGGCTTGAATCTCAGAGGACCCAGTGACCAAACCCCTACACTTTCCATCTCAGCTCTCCCCTGGGTTCCCCCAACAGCTGTCCAAGAGTCTCAGCTTACTTCCTCTCTCTGCAGTGGGTTCCAGATACCCCTTTTCAGAAAACCAGGTGGCCAAGTTCTAACTTGTCCTCTGCTTCTTACCAGGAGGCCCAACAACTCAGTGGGACCATCAGAGCCTCATGGCCCATGTCCAGACTCACTTTCCACACAGACTTGCAGTATTCCCAGATGAGAGACCCCCCCATTTCGATTCCCTGCCCCTGATCCACTGTCCCCATACATTCCTTTAGGCTCCTCCTGCCCCCTCTGTGTCCAGAGCTTGCCCATCCCTCTCTTCCAGGAAGCCCTCCACAGCCACCTCACCTCTCCTCCGGATTCTGACCCCACTGCTAACCAAACTGCTCATGTCCATCTGCGTCTTCCTACTTGAACTTTTCACACATGTCTCTCTTCTTTCCATACCTGAATCACAGGCTTCCAGAGAGCACCTTTCATTTCTCTCACTGCTTCTGTGATCTGTGGCAAATGGGGAAAGCCCAATAAAAATGCATATTGAACATACGAAGCTTCCTGGGAGGGTAACAGGAGAGCCCCTCCCTCCCGTAACAGGGACACATGGTTTGGGAGTGAAAGGAAAACTACAGGCTACCTTCAGGGTTACATTTTGGGGGGTGGTCATGTGTTTTTCCTTAACATTTAGTTTGTGTCAGGAATCCTGATTCAGTAAAAAAAAAAAAAAATAAAAATAAAAATCAGTTCATGGCAGGATTCCACATCACAGAAAAGGAAAGATGTTTTCTTAAGCAAAGAAAGCCATTTCAAAGAGGACCCCTGCCTTCTGTTCTAGATGTGGAAATGTTGGCCAAAGATCAGAGTCCGGCTTGTCATCTGCACATTCAGGGTCCTGGGGAGCTTTACCAGGTGACCAAGACACCCAGCTCAGATTCAGGGCTTGGCAAATGGAAATGGCCTCCACTTTTTCTTAACTTGGACAAGGCAGGTAAACAGAGTCTCAAATGAGTTTCCCAGGCTGCAAGCAGGGGTGGACGTCCTCCTGGCTGCTGCTGCACAGACGTGGGAAGGACACTGACATCTTAGCCCAGGGAAATGTGAAGCCCAGGAGCCCCGGGGTGCTGAGGCGTGGCACCCCTCGCACATGCTGTGTGGATAGTGGCTCGGGCCACTTTCTAGGCAGCTTTTCCAAGGTGGAGGATGCAGGAAAGGTCTTGAGGAATGTTTGAGAAGCAGAATAAAGTGCATTTTCTGGCTTCTTTCCCTGGTGTTTGGTTCGTTTCCTAGACCCAAGGAAGGTCCCCTGGAAGGGGCTGAGCTATGTAGCCTGTGGCCTTGGGCAGCCCTGCCCTACAGACTTGTGGCAAGACTATGTGATTCCTGCTGTCCTGTGAGGCCTGCTTTGCAAGACCTCCAAGGGCAGCCACCTCTGACCTTATGTGCCACGGCCTCATTTCAGTACATGACATGCAGGCTCCACCATCCTGCCCCAACCTGCTCTCCTAGTTGCCTGGTCCTCAACCCCCAACCACTTGCTGAGGCTTCCCTTTCCCACCCAGGCTCTACGTGGGAGCAATCACCACGATCCCATCCTCGGACCCCTGCTGCCCCCACACAGTCTCCTGTGGCCACCTCCAGCCCCTCAACACAACTGGTCATCCAGTCATCTCTGTGTGGGGAACCCTTGCTTTCCTCACTGCTGAGGACATTCGTGTTCTGACCAATTCAGCACCCCTCAACTGGCTTCAGTGGTGATCAGTAGCATCACCGTTTCCATGTCGTTTAGGCCTGGAACCTCAAAGCCACCTCAGCCTTCCCTTATCACCCTGCTGTGCTCAAGCACTAGACTCAGGCCCTGCGTTTCCTCTGCCTGCTGCTTCCCATTCCTAAGGCTTCCCTGACTCAGGCCTTTATAACTGCCCAAGGCGCTATATCAACTTTCCTCCTCCCTACCTTCCTGTCTCCTATACACACACTCACACATGCATTACACATGCACACACACAGGTGTGCACATGCTGCAAGTATGCACACTGCACACATGTTCACATGCACACTGCACTCATGCACATTACAAGGGTTTTCTCACCTTTATATTCTCTAAAGAAATGACTACCAACATTGCCTTGCAACAAACATCCATTGAGTAAATTAATTCTCATCCCAAGAGGTTCTGGAGTGGAGACGCAGGTTGGGGTGGCCATGGCAGGTCGCAACTTCCCCTGCCCATGGGCCTCCTGGATATTGGAAGCATGTGGCTTTGCTGAGCACCTCTAGGTTCAGGCATGTCTATTGGAACGGAGGTCTTTGTCTTGGAGTCAGAGCATGACAACAGCCTAATGGGTGACTCTGGTAAGGACATAGGATCTTCTTTAGAATGCTGTATATCTCTTAAAAAGGGGTGTCCTGTTGGAGCTCATTGCAGTCTGGCTCTGTCACTGTGCCCTTTGCTTTTCTTTAGGCACTGGGACGCTGCACAAACAGCTCTGTCAAAGGAGCAGGATGCCCCCTGTCTGGGCCAGCTGTGGCTACAGGAGGCGGACCTATCAGCCCTGCGCCTCTTGGAGAGCCTGCTGCAGACAGGGCCGCACCTGCTGCTGCAGACATATGTCTTCCTGGCCTCAGATTTCAAGGCCATTGTGCCAGGTGAGTCAGGAGACACAGACTACCTGACTTAGGTGGGCAGGTGGTGGCAGGAAAGTGAGCCTCAATTAGCAAAACACTATCATCTGCCTGGGGGAATTAAGGCACAGCCAAGCTCACTGGCCCCAGATGTTGGTGAAAATTGACTTTTGTTTGGGCAATTAGTTCTTTCTTGGGAGTTAGGTTCTGAAGTCAGTCTGTAAGATAGAAATTAGGCATAATCAAAATTACCCTGGAAATCCTTTGGGAAGGCTGTTATTCCATGAAATCAGTGCATCTGTTTTTCCTGTATCTTTAGTTATTAGAATAGCTCTTGGTGCAGACAGAGGCTTAGGCCTCAAGAGGCACATGTAAGCTGAGAACAATTCAGGACCCGGGAAGGATGTGTTTCCAGCTCCCACGGGGCATCCACATTCTTCTTCTCTCTTTCTTCAGATTGCTTCTCGAAATACCCTCCCTTCCCCCCTTCTCCCTATACCCTCCCGTCCCTCAATATTCCTCCCCTCCTATCCCTCCTCTGCCCTCTTTGCAGAGCACCCACAATTGTATGTGCATAAACTTAAATGCTTAAAATATGCGGCTGGTCTCTTCTTCCATGCATCTTTATCAGAGGCCTGACATTATATCATGTTCTCGTTCTAGTACTTTTATTAAACCTTCTTCATAAAAATTGAACAGCAAAATATATTTTGGATGGGCACTGTTCAGAGCCTTTCAGGATCTGCTTGGTTGTAAACAGAACTTGGGCCAAAGGGCTTGGAGGACCAGGCACTGGGACATTTTTCTTAAATGGCATGGAAAGAAAGAGCCCAGGCCATGTGCTGGGTATGAAGGTCCAGTGCATCATCGTGCAGTGAAATTCCCTGCGTACCCTCCTTTCATCCTATATAGAGACCTGTATTCACACACAGAGTTGTGTTACCCACCAGTCAAGGTGCATAGTTATTTATACCCTCTGTGGAGCCAGGTTTTAATAAGAGGTTACACACCCCATTAAAGAAGTGCCATGAATGAATCTTCACATGATGCTGTTGCTTTGGAACCGTCAGTACCTATGATGTTTTCCACTTTCCTTCCAGGGGTGAGTGCCCTCCTCTCCTGGTCCTCTCTGTCCTGGGCCCTAGTGTCCTACACTCACTTCCTGGGTTTCGTGAAGCCAAGCCCCCTGGCCACACCGTGCGCTGCGCTCTTCTGTCAGCAGCTCTGGAGGATGGGCATGCTGGGGACCCGTGTCCTGAGCCTGGCTCTGTTCTGTAGAGCTTACCACATTTGGGTTTTGGTTGTTGGAGGTAAGCTGAGCTTATGATCTGAATATCTATTACTGTGTAACAAACCATTCCAGAACTGAGTGCCTTGAAAATGACCATTTATGATCACCAACTAGTTCTAGGGGCTGGAGGGGCTCTGCTGGGCAGTTCTTGCTTTGGGGGACCTCCGCAGTTGTAGCCTGGTAGCAGTTATCTGGACTCAAGGGCAGGCTTGATGGGGATGGATGTACAGATGACATCTTTACTTTCTTGTCTGACACCTGGTGGTCTTCTTGTGGCCTTTCTGTTCAACTAAGTAGCCTGGGCTCATACTTAGCCATAGGGAATTCTAAAGAGAAGTAAAGTCTGCCAATCTCAAAAAATAGGCCCAGAGCTGGCTCAGCATTGCTTCTCTGTAGTCTACTGGCCAAAGCAGCCATAGCCAGCCCAGATGCAAGAGTGTGATGGGACAGCCCTGGGATCCCGCTGTCCAGGGTGGGAGGCATGAGTGCTGGCTCTCTCTGGAGATGCACAGCCATAGACAACTCCTCAGAAGACTGTTCTGTGTGTCAGGCTAAAATCTTTTCTATAGAACTCAAACAGGAGGGAGGTGTAGGGGCCCACTTGCCCTTACTCAATACACTAATACACTTAATTGTGTTCCTGCTGATAGACTCCAAGTGCACCATTCCCTTCTAAGGTAATCTTGGACATCTTCCCTGTTCCAAATAGGACAGCTCTTCTGAGCCCCAGTTCCCTCCTGCCTTAGTCTGGCTGCACCCAGATATGAATGGTGATGACAGGAAGTCTGTCTGGCTGAGCAGATTCCCTGAATAGGGCCTATGTGTTCCTGCCAAGGAAAACGATCTTCTCTGTCACCACTGAATATACTGGGCAGGGAGGATCAGTGTACTCTTGTTTTAAGCGAACGGAGGACATTGAGAAGTATTTGACCCTTGGGAGGAAAGCAAACATTAAATACAGTTATTGGCAGAAAAGAGAATTTTTTTTAAAAATGTGCTGTTAAGGAGAAAATAGCCATTTTTTACTCTTTTTTTTTAAATTCAGTTCAAACGCCAGGATGATATTGATAATCTTAAAATATAGAAATAGAAAATACAGCTGGACCACACAGAGTTCTGTCCTTTGGGTGTGAAGGTTTTTGCTCTTATGTTAACAATTTTAAAATAGTGGACAGTTTCATAACTGCCTCCTTAAACACGTTCTGGAACTAGAAGGGTGTAAGTCCATATAATATTGGGTCAGTATTGTGGAAGCTGGTCTTTGTTTCCTCATGTTCAGATTAGGTCAGTTGCCCTTAGTAAGGATCAAATGGGATGATACGTGCAAAGATATCCTGGGTGGCTTTCCTATGGCTCTGGAATCTGTTCTGGGTTTTGATGTCTCTTCTTGGATGCTGACTCAGAAGAGGATGGAGCAGACAGGAGCGCTTTGGCCCCTGGTCTCCGTGTCCTCGCCTCACCCGCTCTAGGCTTCCCAGGTGACCCTGGCCCCTGGCCTCTCCCTAGGTGCCCACTGGCTGGTGATGACCTTCTGGCTTGTCGCCCAGCAGAGTGATATCGTCGACAGCACCTGCCGCTGGAGGCTGTTCAACCTGCTTGTGGGGGCTGTGTACATCCTCTGCTACCTCAACTTCTGGGACAGCCCTTCCAGAAATAGGATGGTCACATTCTACATGGCAAGTGGAGATGGCGATTTTCTTTAATCCTGACTTTTATGGCATAGACAGCATGTAGTGTGTGTGTGTGCCCTGGTGCATGCACAACTAGCAAAAAAAGAATAGCCTAGTTTTAGAAAACATTCCAAAAGGAATTATAGCCTTGAACAGAGATGACAAGCTTTGAAAGGAGTAACCTGACATCCACCTGTTGATACAGGTCACTGGCAGCAGCTGAGGCGCATTTGGTAGGTTGTCTCTGCCGAGTTTGATTACAGCTGACCTGTGAGTGTTCTTGCTGACCACCTTGATTCTTACTCAGTGTCTATTGCTGAGTCCTAGGTGTGGTCCTAGGCAGAGTGGGAAGCACGCAGGTGGCCTATGGCCTATCTGTGTTCAGGCTGCTTTTCGCCCAGTAGAGGAGATTTCTACCTATCTTTTTTAATTCATAATATTTGGTAAGCATATGTACCCAGATAACCAAAAGAATAAGGCAGAATATGGGTAGCTACCACAAAATAAAAAATGTTTGGGGTCCCAGGAGTACCTGTCGGTACCGCTTCCCATTGAGATAACCAGAGACACTTTTGGTTTTTTATTTATTTTTGAGATAGTCTCACTTTCATAATAACCTCAAATTCTTGGGCTCAAGCAATTCTTGCCTCAGCCTCCCAAGTACCTGGGACTACAGGCACCCGCCACAACACTTGGCTATTTTTAGAGACAGGGTCTTGCTCTTGCTCAGGCTGGTCTGGAACCCATGAGCTCAGGCAATCCACCCACCTCGGTCTCTGGAATGCTGGGATTACAGGTGTGAGCCACCAAGTCTGGCCTGAGAGACACTTTCAGATGGAAGGTTTGAGTTGAGCTGCATCATGATAAACAGAGGAGATAAAACAGCCAGTGCATCAGGGGACGGGGTTTGGAATGAGGCAACATTACACCTGGCCCCACTGTGTAGGCTGCTACTCTCAGCTGACTTTGGCCAAGGATTGAAGCTCTGCAGACCTGAGTCCTTGAGCTGTGCCCTGTGATCATCCGAAAGCACTGCCTTCCGCTAAGGTTGTCAGACCCGCCCTGGCCAGGTCCTGCCAGCTCCAGCCCTGGGTACAGCAGCACATGCCTGAGAAGCTGGCAGTGTCTAGCCTAGGGCTGACCAAACTTCTCCACTTTGCTAAACCCATTGAGGGCTGGTGGGGAGAACAGTACTTTGACACTCCTGCAAGTGAGAGAACCTAAGGTTCAAACTGGAATGGGGGCCCTGTTCTCTGTCCCTTGTTGGGAGCAGAACCAAATTTCTTATCCCTTTATGACAGGAGACAAGAGTCATTCATATTAAAATAGGGTACTCAGCAGGCTTCCAGAGTGATCACAAATGTGTAATGTGTGTATTTCAAGGAGACAATTCTCAGGTCCTTGAGAAAATAGTTCTGGCTGGCACAAGATTTACATCTCAAAGAGCAGAAAAATGATTTACAATTGCAAGCTTTCTAAAGTATAATAACTGCTCTGAGAGGGTGTTGTGGGCCCTATTCACCCATCACCAAGTTTTGGCTAGAATTAGACAGTAAATTCTCCTGGCAGTGCTGAGCTTTCTTAGGGAGGAACTTAAGGAGGACTGGAGTCTTTATCCCCGGGATGTGGCCTGGAACTGTTAAAGACCATTCAAGTGTTTGTTCAAGTCTCTCAGTCTGGGAAGGGAGATAGAATCACTTGTGCAGAAGATCTACAGTCCATGTTGGTGATGGTTGAGGCCTCAGAGTGTGGGGAAGGAGAGACCCTTTGTCCAGGGAACATCATTTCAGGGGCAAGCAGTATGTTGGAAGACGATTCCAGAAAGGAAATTAGGGCTAAATGGTAAACAGGACTGCCCTCATTGTCAAGGAGAGGGGTGCTTGGCCCCAAAGTTAATGCGAGGCTATTTTGAGGTGCATTAAGGAAAATGACCAGGCCCGGTCTGTGGGTACAGCAGGTTACCTGGCCCCAGTGAGGGGAAGACATTGCAGAGAGGATGAGGACAGAGGAGGCCTGGGCAGGCACCACTGGGCCAGAACCACAAAAGTGACAGGAAGTACAGGGAAAGGTGATGGGGTTGGGACAGACTTAAGAATCGGAACCCACAGAGCCAGACAGCATATAATTGATCAAGGAGTAGAGACCCCAAGACCTCTGCACTCAGGGATTCAGAGACTGGGCATCCTTAGGTCTCCCAAGCAACTTCTTGTAAGTTTATGCTTCTCTCCTTATTTGAATTCTCGAGAGTTAAAATGAAGCCAATGGATTACCATGGCAAATCTATTGAAAACTTTAGCAAATCAGTATTATAATTTAGTTTTTTTTTTAATGTCTCCTACATAGTATTTAAATACATCCTTGGGTTGTGTCAAGTTGATTTGATTATTTTAGTAAAGAAATATGTCTTTATATTTAGAAATTAGATGCCAGAGTCAAAAAGCCAGCCCCAGCATGGGCGGGGGAAGAGCCTTCTGGGACCGGCCAGGGTGGTGCTTCTGCTGCTGCCACCTGGTGGCCACAGGACAGAGTTACCTTAAATATGTGAAGGAAAAACAAATTCTAAAGTGGTTATGGAGGTTTGTGACTCTGGCTTCCTGACATTAAGTGATACCAGAGCTCTGCAGAGGCTTCTAACAGTTGTGTTGTAACATTAACTCATGCCGGCAGTTATGAGGCTGGAGGCTCAGATCACGTAGAAACTAACAGTGTCCTCTCTCAGCCCATCCTGGCTCACTACCGGATTTGAGTGGGGTCCTTACATTTCCTTGGCACTTGAGATTTTTCAGATGGTGTAGTGAACTGAGAACTGAGAGACTCTCTCTTTGCCAGAGAAGTTCTCACTGGGACTATGGCCCTGCTTCTGGGAGGGCCCTGAGGACAGAAGGGACAGCCTCAGATGTGCAGGAGGGGGAGCTCCCCGTGGCTTTGTGCGCCTGGCGAGGTGTGGTGACTCTCCCCTCGGTCCCACAGGTGATGCTGCTGGAGAATGTTATCCTTCTGCTGTTGGCCACTGACTTTCTCCAGGAGGCACCGTGGACTGGCCTGTGCACTATCGCAGGGGTCCTGTCTGGATTTCTGATTGGTAAGACCCAGTGTAACCTTATCTGTATTATCTCCTGGATCTATTTTCTTACTCAAAAGTCAGGAAATTGAACTCAGATGGGTGAGCTGGAGATGGGTGAACAGAGCTCACTGGGCTGTGTGTGGCAGGGCTGTCCCCACCAGCACGAGAAACTGAGCTCAGCCCTGGCTGCGTGTTTGGCTGTGCTCAGAGCCTCCAGCTGAGTTGGGACTGTCCACTTCTGCCCAAAAGGTCTCATGTGTGGGGCTTTCTCCCTGGAGCTCTCCACAGGATGAGGACAGGGCTTCCCACTGCCTCCTGCCTTAGGGAACTCATGCACCTTCCTGACACAGCATCCTGGGAGGTGGACACTGCCACATGTCCAAGTTAGAGTTGCGGATGGTAAGGCAAAGAGGAGATTAAGTCTGAAAGATCAGAATGTTTGTAGGTGGTAGAGCTGGAATTCAGATCCAGCCCAAACACAGGCATCAGCATAGCCCCTGGCAGCTCTAGGTAGCCAGCGTGTTACCACAGGAATGGATGGCTCTAAGTTCTGTGCCGTGCCCACAATGGCAATCTTGCTTCCTGGGCCATGTGAGCTCAGCACAGCACTCCTCTCCTACACTTCACCATATAAGCAAGAGGTGCTGGTGCCAGCTGCTCCCCTGTACCTACAAGTGGCCTCCTGTCCCCTTCTGGGTCACAGCATGAGAATTAGACTAACCTGTGTGAGTAGGCTTAACTGAACACATTTCACCAGGTGAAGGGACTATCCAGGGGTCACAGAAGATGCATAAATTATGACCATCACAAACTACTCTGGGCTTTGGGCTCCTGTCTCTTTTTCATAGATGTTATCGGTCAGGTGACCAAGCCCACCACTTCCTTTAAAAAGTTAAACTTTTCCCCTTGAAATAACTGTAGTTTTAAGAAATAATACTGAGAGTTTTCTGTACTCTTCAGCTGTTTTCTTCAAGCAGTAATATCTTGCAACATCACAGCCACACCTCCCTGTCACCAAGAGGCCCCTGCACACGACCCCTTCCTCTAGCCCCCACTGCCTCCTTTGCTGCACACCCACTAATCCATTGTCTATTTCTACAATTCTGTCACTGCAAGGGTTTTGTGTAAATGGAATCACACAGGTTATAACCTCTGGAGATAGCTTTATTCATTCAGCACAACTCTCCAGAGAGTGGTCAGGTTGCTAAGTCAGTAGGTGGCCGAGTCCTACCCCCAGGGTGGACAGACCCTCTGCCCCCTGAAGGGCATCTGGGTGGTCCTTTCTAAAACAATAATTTGCATGTCAGGGCATTGATGTATAAGCTGGTTGTATATATAAATGGCCTAGAGAAAGCTGAGGACATGGGGCTGCCCGGATGCCCCGCTCCCACCCACATTACACATCAGGCTTGGTGCTTTTATTTTTAGCAATCCCTCCAGGGGCAGGGGGCCATGAGACACTCGAGGTGAAGGGCCTCTGTGAGCTGGGAGGCCCAGCCACTCATTTGGAGTTTCTGATGCAGGAGAGGCATGTGAGCATGGTGGGGTGGGAGGTAAAATGTCTTCTCATCTACTTTCTATATTTAATACCCTCATTCAAAAAGATGCCTGACACCATTGCTGCAAGGTGTCACACTCCCAGGAGCTGCCACACTGGTTTCCCTCCCAGTTTCACTCCACTGAGATATTGTCATGCTCAGCACCCACAGAGGAGGGTGGGGCAGAGGAGCCCTGGCAGGTCACTGGACCCACAGGCTGGAGCCAACCTCTCCCAGTATACCCCGGCTCCCAGAAGGGCCTGGGGAATCCTCAGCAGATCGTACACGAATTATAACCCAAGGAGCGTGGGCCTACTCCCAACCCCTGCCCTTACTGAGCCCCTACCATATGCCAGCTGGGGGCTACAACGAGCAACCCACAAAGGACAGGGCCTCGGAGAAAGTCTATTTCCACTGAACAGGGCTGCTTGGGCTTCTGTGGGGAGAGCCTTGGTCCATCTTTTCTGGCCTGTGGTGGCTCATTGTAAAAGGGAGACATGTGCCCCTCACTAGACGGTTGTGACAATTTAAAACTGTATGCAGTAACTGTGTTAGCAGGGCATGCTGCAGGGGCAGCACTGGGCACAGGAACTCAGTCTCCATCCACTGGGCTCCAGTCCAGCCAGTTCCATTCAGGCCCCCCACACAAGACACCCAAGGGGAGTCCTGAGGTGGTCCTTCTGGGTCCTCCTAGCACCGTCACACCCAATCTCCAGGCCCCTCAGACATTATTTCAGGCTTTGTCTGTTTGTCATAAGCGCCCTGGAACCAGGCACTTCACCCAGTGGAACAGGAAACTGGAAAGAGCGTGGGTGGCTCCTTGGAATGCTCTGGGAAAGAAATCACCACAGAGGTCAACACTTCTGATCAAAATAAACTGACAACAACGTGATTAAGGTGTTTGTGCACAAAGGAAGTGTTGTGTTGTTGTTCATGGAAATTCCTTGATATGGGATTTTGACAAGAATGATTAACCTCTGTGGGTCCTACTTGTTTGCGAGGTTATTTCTTACCTCCCACCTCCTCCAGCTTTGGAACCCATCAAGGAGTGTGTTGGTGGCTGAACTGTGAGCTTCTGATTCAGTTACTTGCCAAGCAGGACTGACATTTCCACTGAATGCCCCCCCACACACACACACACTCAACATGCACACCCCACACACATCCACATACACCCAACACATGCACACGCACCACACACACACACATGCTCAACATGCACACCCCACACACATCCACATACACCCAACACACGCACACGCACCACACACACACACTCAACATGCACATCCCACACACACATCCACATACACCCAACACACGCACACGCACCACACACACACACATGCTCAACATGCACACCCCACACACACATCCACATACACCCAACACACGCACACGCCCCAGGCACACACGCCACACACACACACGTCCAGGTGCTCAGCAGGAGCTGCCTCCACAGAAAGAAACATAGAACCCCGGCTCGCCACCTGTGGCTCAAGCGGCTAAGGCGTCAGCCACATACACCTAAGGTAGCGGGTTCAAATCCAGCCCGGGCCTGCCAAACAACAATGACGGCTGCAACCAAAAAATAGCCGGGCGTTGTGGTGGGCGCCTGTGGTC